TCTGACCAAAATTTGATACGCACCTGATTTCTTTCGTGCCACCTCTTCATGACTCGCGTGTTTGTCATTTCGGTTGCCATGTCGTAGGCGCATAGGGATGCCCCTGTAATGCGGCAACCACTACTAGCCCGTTTGTCGTTTCGGTTGCCTTTCCGTAAGCGCAAATGTGCCCCTGTTATGCGGCAACGTATGTTAACCGGTTTGTCGGTTCGGTTGCCATCTCGTAGGTGCAGAGGTACCTTTATCATGCAGCAACCTCTCTAGCTATCTCGCAAGTTCGGTTGTCATCTCTAAGTTGTCGCGTGTTCGATTTCACACTACTACGTTGTGAAAAATAATGAAGAATGTAATATTTACCTACCTTTCTCTTCTTGTCACATTCTTTTCCAATTATGTACTTGTTTTCTTATATACTTATACTTTATATTTGTTTATCAATTATATCAATTTTCGAAACTTTATAAAATAAAAGTAACAAGTGAATGATGAATAAGAATTAAAGGATATCTTTCTTCGAAGGAAGAGTGTAGCCTTTATTTTAAAAGATACTTCTCCAGCTCTCTTTTTGTTTTTAAAATACAATTATTATGTAATAAGTATACGTATAATGTTATAATAATTACGAAATAGGTATAATTACTCAAATATTACAAACTCAGTTATCACAGAATAAACCAGAATTAAATTGGAACAAGTCTAATCGTGTTTCTTATTAGCCAATCTTACAGAACGATTATTATGCTGAATAATTTCGTGACAACCAAACGATCGTTAATTCCTAAGTGGTTAATCAAGTAACATTATCCAACGTGTAAAAGGTGTAAGTGGTAGAAAGCAATAATACGGAAGAATTCGTAATAACATATATTCTATGTAACACAATACTTACATAGGTCACATATATGTATATATATATGCATATATATAATAATCGTTCGTTATTATATATACAATATATAAGAATTAATAAAATATAATGTTTAATAATGTTAATCGTATGACTACAATATATTATTATCTCGTTCTTGTTTTTTTTTTTTTCATCATCGTCATCGTCGTCGTCGTCGTCGATTGTTCACCTATTTTCTACAATTTATATCGATTTATATATATATATATATTTATTTATTTACTTATTTATAATAACAATAATGATCTCAAAAGGCTGATACAATATTCGGCTAGCGTACGGATAGCTTGAGATTTCTTATTCGTAATTATATATTTTCTTTATGTTTTCCTTATAATACAATGGGATTCATTTCTTGAACCACAACGCCATCATCTTACTTGTTCCTTAGTTCTCTGTATGTATTTATATCGCTATACTGCTAGTATGTTTTTCTTTCACTGTCGTTACGCTGCAATTACGTTCGACGTAATGTAAATACAGATTTAAATACAGGTGTTTCCGTTCTCGATGAAATATACTTAACCCTTTTTTAAATGTACTGGAATCAGACAATCCGAACCCCAAAGAGTCGTAACGCGCAGTTACGTCACTTCTTACAATTGTTTCGTGCATGAAAATATATGTATGCCACCGGGGATCAATTATTCCACCTATAATCGCGCACTATAGTTCGAGGTTGGGTTCCTCGGCACCCGATTGGTCGGGTAATTGAAACCTCTTACAGTGTTGATATTAATTGAACGTTCTAGAAAATCTCTCGCGCGATTTCTGCTTTAAATTGACTTGAAATATTTAAATCACCGCCCTGTCGACCGATGCCAGTTAATTTATTTTAGCTAACGTAATCGAAATATGTAACACACTCTTCGTATTGATTCAGCCACCAACGATTATTGCGATAAAGATCGGAAACCATTGCAAACAATGGCGACGTGGGAGGTTCGGAGTTGCTTGACTCGTTGTTAGTTTGGGTTAAAAATAATAATTCTCTAGAGTTTAAATAATAAATAGAGAAGTAAACGGTACAAAAGTACCAGAGCACAGGCTGTATTGCGCAATACCGCCTAAATATGTCTTAATTAATATATCGATGAGACTCTCAGCGATATATATCGATTAGAAATACAACACTATTCCTAGACGTGTATTGCTTGATAATATTATGCGTGGATACCTGGAACCCTGAAATACTACAGTGGGGCCCCGTACTCCTCAATCGTGTTTGTTTCAGCCACTTCCGAAAGATGCTAGTTCGTTATTCATGCTTTCTAGCGGTCACTTAACCGATCCAGTAAGAAATTTAAGCTCGCTGGAATTGGCTACGTTCCTTATTTCCAAATAAACTGTGCTTTTATATATCGTTATGGTTGACGGTGTACAGTTCCCCCAAGTATAGCGTCGACAAGATTGCCTACAGGTGTAGGGGGCTGTTATAAATTGAATTCATCGAAATGTAGAGCGAAACAAGACTGCTTTCTTCATTGTGACCAAGTACCGCTGATGGCCGAGCGATTACTGAATACAGGTAACGACGTCGTTAACGATCAAGTCACCGAACGTATGAAACATAACTTTCTCTTTTTATACTCTTGATTGCCATCGAGGGGAAAAAAGTCTTCCATCTAGCATTCGCTTGGTTGTTCCGTGATTTGGGGTAGTTAGGCCCGTTACAGCAAACTTATTGCGTTTACAACGGACGCGTTCCGTAGTTTGTTGCGATTCATCGACGGCGTTTCAACGATCCGTGCGTGTGCCTTTTGCCCGAACGACGAAACGATCGTGAAACAATAACGCTGCGAATGTTCCGGGTGAGCACGAAAGATCGTTTCACGCGATAAGATTTTTGCGACAACGCTCCTTCGACCGTTTCCTCCCATAGTTCTTTTGTGCTGTATTTCGTTTGCACGCATCGAAAACGGGATGCGTATCAAAACACGGGACACCTATTGCTATTAGTGTATTGCAAACATGGTCACAACCCTCGACGGGGTTTTTCGATAGGTCGATTAAAACAGCGACGATATTAACCACTAATTGATATTTCGCTGTTCAGAGCTGGTGCGTTATCCGGATAATCGTTTGGATGAATCTTATGGTCGAATCTATTTGTTCGGGTGGTCGTTATTCGACGATATTCGCAGTGTTCGTTGGCGAGTCAAGTTTTATCTAGACGAGACTTCTATTTGAATTAGCGGCTGTATGTGGATAAAAGTTCGTCCAGGTAAAGCGTTTATTCGTTATTTGTTGCCTAGATGAAAACGTGCCCAACTCCGTCGCTGTTCCAGTAATTCGCCAATTACCGTGCGATCGGATCACCGTACCGAGATAAATGTCTAACAAACGGCTTCGCGTTAAATATATCGTACGACAGCATCGTAGTGGTGTTGAAAAATCGCTCTTCGACGAGCATATAATTTACATATGTATCATGTATGTACAGTTTTCGAGTCGAATCTTGACAGAATACGGGGTGTCGGAAGCGTCAGCCAGCTGTGGCTCTCGAAAGCCGCAATACGCGAAGCGCAGAGGTCTCTTCGGCAACGTTATATCTACGTTATCTAGGATCCAGTGGCGTAACTAAAGGCCCCGACCTAAGTAAGCGTCTTAAATTCAAACGGGCCACGAATTTTTAACCAACAGAAATCGAACGTACCATTTTCTTAATCGTGTAAATATTTCACAGTAAACGTAAGTTAGTAAATAGTGAATACAGGGAAGTACTTACGAGAATTAAAAATCTTTACATTGATAAATAATAATTTTATTTTTGGCTAATACGATACAAGACCTAGAGGGAAGGATCGGCTACCCTCTGACAGGGTTCCATCGTATATCTCAGCATACGAGCCCCGGAATCGCTAGCTACGCCACTGCTACAATCGGATCGAATTTGTTACGAGTAGAGATGAGCAAAATACTTGGAAAATGTACAACGAATTACGTTCCACATTGAACGAATAAACACGTTTCCATTCGTTTATCCGTTAGGTTGTTCCAATCAAACTTTGCCCATCTCTACGTTAACGAGCACTCGGTATCGGATGGGATGCTTTCGGTACCTCGACCAAGCAGGATCGTAAAAGCAACGGATGGGCGACATTTTATCCGTTATTTTCATCTACGTCAGAGTTTTGCCCATACCTGACGAAAGGACGCGTTCGTGTACATCGACGCGAGAAAATTTCGCTCGATAATTCGATCCTGATATGCTTTATTATCTAAAACTCCGCCTGTGCAACGCTGACAAAAACAGCATATCGCCACACAGTGCGAGTGTAAAACAGTCTTTGCGTAAAAGGAGTCTTCGTATGCGTGGCGCGCGCGCGTCGATGTTATGTACCCTAATATTCGTTATCTACTAAGGACAAATAAAAAAAAAAACCTCGTCGCGGTCTATTTAATTAAAGTACTGCCCTCATTTCCCGAAAACTTTTGTTTCAACGGTATTCGAGTAGTCGAGTACTCGACTCACAAGTACTGCCTCGTTTCTTGAAAGCGGATCAGTGCCATCGGATTTCACAAACGGAGGCACGGTAGAGAATCGGTTCCTGGAACCAGCGAAGCTCAAAAGGGCCGCTCGAATAGAGCAACGCGCTCTAATCACCGACATTTAATTACCTAGCTTAACTAGTTGCCTAAAGCGTTAGTATAACTAGCTGTTAGTATAACTAGATGTTTTTAAAAAATAGCACGTTTCAGACATTACTTACAATCGTAAATTTCGACTCGAAGCTCGACTCGTCTATGCTGCTCGCTTACGAAGAAACGCGAACGATGGGTGAATTTCAAGTATCTCTAACGCAGGCTTGTTCGATAAGCGAGGCAGTACTGTGGCAACGACGTCGCGCGATCGAAATGTTCCTTGGAACGAAATTTCTGATCTTCGGCGCACGGAGAACTCCGACAAGGGGTT